GTTACGTGAACAACCGGAGGGTGCTATCTTGCTCTTTTGGTATCTTCAAGTATAATATACTGTTGAGTTATCTTAGTTCTGATGGCTTTATTAGCCCACACAACCCCCCAATCATAATATAATCCATAATGCATTTTGTAACATTACTTGCACACAAACCAGTATTTCAATATTTGCTGAATAAAAGAATTTTTTCGAGAACTAAAACTATATTTACTTTATAAATATCTAGTGATTTTAAAAATACTGTCATTTATCCATTTGACAAATAGTATCTACCATGAGAAGGTACATGAAAGGAGGAAAACAGAACGCAGCATAGAGAGGAATGTGTGAGATCCCAGATTCAAATCATGAGCAAGCAATGATAGGAAGGTAACTCCTGTGGTCTCAGAAAGAAAGCCTACAGGAAGAGTGGATGAGGAGGAAAGGTGAAAATGCTTGAAAAGAGTGGAGTAGAGAAGAAAAAAAGTCTAACTTTGGAGGTGGGAGGGGGGCTCATTGATTAAAGCTCCTATGGTCTGTGAAAGGAGATAGGGAGCTTGAGCTAAGTGTGGCCTGGGGAATCTAGTGCTTGAAAAATCCACTTGTCCTACAAGAGGGGAGTTGGAGTAAAAAGAGGAGGAAGGGAAATAAGACCAAGTCTGTGATTACAAAGTAAGTAAAAGACTGAACTACTTGCACAGCAGACATGTTGACTCTAAGGAGAATACCAAAGGAAGTATACCAAAAAATATTTTAAATAATGGAGGGTTAATAAATGTAGAAACACCCAAGACAACAACTTCAAATGATAAGACTTATTTTGATATATAAATTCCGGTATTTGGGGGACATGCTGTTTGCAAAGTAAAACTGCCCTCATCTAAAGATTAACTGATTCATTTAGTCAGAGATGCATTCTCCAGGAAATTCACCTTGTTGGGTTCATCAGAATGTGAATTTTTCTCCAAAATAGATGTCACTAATACAGAAAAGTTTTACATGATTGCATGTGTGTAACCTATATCAGATTGCTTACCATTCAAAAAGAAGGAAAAGGAGGGAATGGGGAGAGGACAGAATTTGGAACTCAAAACTTTTGTAAAAAAAAAAATTTTTTTAAGGGGGTTGGAGCCAAGATGGCAGAGTAAAAGCAGTGACTTGCTTGAGCTCTCCCCCAAACCCCTCCAAATACCTATAAAAAATGGCTCTAAACAAATTCTAAAGCAGCAGAACCCACAAAAAGACAGAGGGAAACAAATTTCCAGCCCAAGACAACCTGGATGACTAATCAGAAAGGCATAAAGTGCCGGGCTGTGAGAGAAGCACAGTATGGCATGGAAGCGCAGGCCACAGCAAACCTGGAGCAGGCCTCAGAGGAGGGAATTGCAGGCAGCTGTGGCGGTTTTCAGACTCCTCAATCCACCAATGCCAAAGACAACTTAGAAGGTCAGTGGGAAAAGTCTGTTTCTGTGGTGCTGAGAGAGGAACGCTGGGTCTCAACTCCAGTTCCCTGAGCATGGCCCTGGGGAGGCAACTGCCTCCTGAGCTTCAGGCCCACAGACTGAGGGGGAATCCAGTGGCTGATCAGAGAAGGATTGCAGGGATCTTCTGACAGTGCTGAGGCAGGAATCTCTTGCTTTGCCCATGCTTGGATCTGGGTCACAGTTCTGGGTGGCAGTCCTGGGGTGAGGAGGAGTGTTGGCATGGTGGAGCTTGTAGTGGCTGTGGAGAAGAAACCCTCATAGTTCCAAGAGAGAAAAGACTGCTTGTGGTCACTCATAGACCAGAGCACAGGCCAAGAATGCAGTAAACACCTCACCCCTTATCATACCACCTTGGAAGAACTCAAAATTTACAGGTCTCTACAAGTATCTTTGAAAACAGCTGTACAAACCCCCAAAGCTTGGGACAGCACATTCTCCACACTGGAAGCAGACTTTTACCTTAACAAACAGTTTAAAACTCAAGTAATTGGCTGGGATCATGAGCAAGCAGCACAAAAAGAGTCAGACTATATATTATCTTACTTTGGTGACAAAGAAGATCAAAACATACAACCAGAAGAAGACAACAAAATCAAAGCTCCCACATCCAAAGCCTCCAAGAAAAATATGAATCAGTCTCAGGCCTTGGAAGAGCTCAAAAGGGATTTTGAGAAGCAAGCAAGAGAAGTAGAGGAAAAACTGAGAAGAGAAATGAGAGGGATGCAAGAAAATCACGAAAAACAAGTCAACAGCTTGCTAAAGGACACCCAAAAAAATACTGAAGAAAATAACACCTTAAAAAATAGCCTAACTGAAATGGCAAAAGAGATCCAAAATGCCCTAAAAAGAAAAATTGGCCAAATGGAAAAGGAAGTCCAAAAGATTACTGAAGAAAATACTTCCTTAAAAATTAGAATAGAGCAACTGGAAGCTACTGACTTTATGAGAAATCAAGATGTTCTAAAACAAATCCAAAAGAATGAAAAAAAGAAAGACAATGTGAAATATCTCATTGGAAAAACAACTGACCTGGAAAATAGATCCAGGAGAGAGAATTTAAAAATTATTGGACTATCTGAAAGCCATGATCAAAAAAAGAGCCTAGACATCATCTTTCAAGAAATTATCAAGGAAAACTGCCCTGATATATTAGAACCAGAGGGCAAAATAGAAATTGAAAGAATCCACCAATCTCCTCCTGAAAGAGATCCCCAAAGGAAAACTCCTAGGAATATTGTAGCCAAATTCCAGAGTTCCCAGGTCAAGGAGAAAATATTACAAGCTGCCAGAAAGAAACAATTCAAGTACTGTGGAAACACAATCAGGATAACACAAGATTTAGCAGCTTCTACATTAAACGACTGCAAGGCATGGAATATAATATCATGGAAGGCAAAGGAGATAGGATTACAACCAAGAATCACCTACCCAGCAAAACTGAGTATAATCCTTCAGGGGAAAAAATGGTCATTCAGTGAAATAGAGGACTTTCAAGCATTCTTGATGAAAAGACCAGAGCTGAATAGAAAATTTGACTTTCAAATACAAGACTCAAGTGGAATGAAGAGGCAAACAGGAAAGAGAAATCATAAGAGCCTTATTTGTGGATGGATAGATAGATAGATAGATAGATAGAGGGCACAGGGTGAGTTGAAGATTAAGGGGTCATATCTGGAGAATAAAATTAAGGGATGAGAGAGGATTATACTCGGAGAAGAAGAAAGGGAGAGGTAGAATGGGGTAAATTATCTCACAAAAAAAACCCAGAAAAGTCTCTTACAGTGGAGGGGAAACAGGGGAAGGTGAGAGGGAATGAGTGACTCTTATTCTCATAGGATTTGGCTTATGGAGGCAATAACATACACATTCAATTGGGTATGGAAATCTATCTTACCCTACAGGAAAATAGAGAAGAAGGGGACAAGAGAGCAGGGGGATGATAGGGAGGAGGGCAGATTGGGAAAGGGGGTAATCAGAAGTAAATACTTCTGAGGAGGAACAGGGTCAAAAGAAAGAATAGAATAAATGGGAGGGCAGGATAGGATTAAGGGAAATAGAGTTAGTTTTTCACAACATGTCTACTATGGAAGTGTTTTGCATAACTGCACACGTATAACCTATATTGAGTTGCTTGCCTTTTCAATGAGGGTGGGTGGGGAGGGAGGAAGACAGAAAATTTGAAACCCAAAGTTTTAAAAACATATGTTTAAAAAAATGTTTTCACGTGCTACTGGGAAATAAGAAATACAGGAAATGGGATACAGAAGTCTATCCTGCCCTACAGGAAAATAGAAGGGGAAGAGGATAAGAGAAGGCGGGGAGAGACAGAAGAGAGGACAGACTAGGGGAAGGGATATATGCAGAATGCATGCCATCTTGGGGTGGGGGGAGGGATGAGATGGGGTGAAAATTTAGAACTCAAAATCTTGTGGAAGTAAATATTGAAAACTAAAAATAAATAAATTTATATTAAAAAAAATATTTTTTAAAGGAATATTAAAGTACCTCCACAAGATCTTAAGTTTTCAGGCACACAATCATAGTTCAGGTCTTTACTTTCTCTATCCTGGACTACTGCAAAAGCCTCCTAATCAGTCTCCTTGACTGCCGATATCTCCCCCTCTCCAATTTAACATTCTCACAGCTACCAAATTCTGAATGCACAAGTCTGATTATATTACTCCCTTACCCAGGAAGATTCAGCAGCAATCTGCTACCTCTCAGATAAAATACAAATTGTTCTCTCTGGCATGTTGAGCCTTTCCCAATTTTTAGACTGATCTCATGGAACTACACCTTAGGCACTCTACATTCCATCCCAAGCAGCTTATTAATAGCTAAGTATTATTCTTATTCTATTAGGTAACATTTTGTCTTATGCCTCTAGGTGCCCAAGCAAAATAATATACTTGGAAAGCTAACCCTAGACCCGTCTTGGAACCTCCAGCTCCTTCATGGATAAGCTCAAGGGTTGTCTTCTACATGAGGCCCTTTCTGATCACTTCACTGTTAGTATAGATGGCAATGGTAGCTCCAGGAAACCACTTCATGTTTATTTTATATATATTGTGTATTTATTTATTAGTTCACCTGTTAGTTCCCAGTAGAATGTAAGTTACTTGTAGGCAGGGAATATTTCATTTTGTCTTTCTATTTCTAGAACCAGAGACAGAAGGTATTGATAAATGCTCATGTAACTGAATCAATAATTTAAAGGGTAGCATCAGTAAGAAATGAAAAGAGTTAAAATATTTATTCTAAGAGGTTAAAAGATTAATTATACTTGTTTCTACTGAATAGTTATTTAGTGCAATATGGCCTGTTGTCCAAGTACTACCCAGTGTATCAAAATTTTCCAACTGAAAAGTAAAGATATCAATTTTTTAAAGTAAGATGAAAACAACTAGAAATAACCAATATTAATTCGTCCTTTTCACCTATTCCAAGTGTTCATTGGGGGGAGGGGGGGCAGAGCGGGGCGGGGGGAGACACAAAATAATAAACTAAAGGATAAAAAAATTAGGTACTTACTGAAGAAAGACAGCCCCCATTTCAGCTTTTTAGGATCATAGGCAAATTTTATTTTAAACCTTAAAATAAAATTCTGTGCTTTTACTGATGGCTTCCTCAGATTTTGAAGATGATCTACAATAAAGAAAAATTTCAAATGTTAATAATCCAAAATGCAATCTATAATAGATTGAAATTTTTGATGTTTATGGTACAGCAATTTTAACTATTTTTTAACTATATTTAAGAAATGGAAACTGCTTAACTATATGTATGACCAATTAACTTCATACCTCAATTTCCTCAACTCTAAAACCAATAGATAAGGGAACTGTTATCACATAGGAAAATATTTTCTGTACTTAAAAGTTTCCTTTCTCATATTTTTGTTCTTTTCTTTATAGTAATCCTGGGGAAGAAGGAAGGGGTAGAGAAAAAAGAAACCATAGTCAAAAATTGGGCGGGGGGGGGCGCGCCAGCAGAATTTCACTACCAAAAATGTTTTCGTTGGTGCTTCTTAGTATTTGTTATAAGGTTGTTCTATTTTAAGCAACAACAAATAAGAAAACTATTTTATTATGTTGTATTTTGGTTGTTTCAGTCATATCCAATTCTTTGTGACCCTATTTGGGGTATCCTTGGCAAAGATATTGGAATGGTTTGCCACTTCTTTCTCCAGCTCACTTTACTGGTGAAGAAATGGAAGCAAACAAGTTTAAGTGACTTGCCCAGGGTCATACAGCTGGGTAGCATCTGAGGCAATATTTGAATTCTGGTTTTCCTGACTCCAGGCTCCACCATCTATTCACTGTGCCACCTCGCTGCCCATCTGTTTATTATAAAGCAGGCTAATTCTGCCTCTTCTAACCCTGCGTTCGATATTTTCCCTCAACATATCATGGTTCCATGATTTCATCAGTGTAGGCCCTTGCTGGGCCAAGTCAGATCACAATTCTCTGTGCCTTACTTACTAGATAAACTTCATAAGTTGTTGAGAACAACAACAAAAAAAATTAATCCACCTTCATTCAACCATGCTGATAATGATTCTTTCTATACCTTGCTAGGCTGCACTGCCAAAAAACTGAGACACCCTCTATCACCAGTCCCAGTTTCAAATCCCGTTTTGCTTAATAGGACTTGCTAGATCTTATACTCCACTGCCACTGAAAAAGCAACACCACCATTTACTAACGAATAAAACTGCCATGAAACCAGCAACACAATTAGACTTGGAGACTGGTGGCACAGTGGATAGTAAGCTGGACCTGGAATCAGAAAGACCTGTGTTCAAATCCAGCCTGAGATGCTTCCTAGCTGTATGACCTTAGGCAGGTTACTTAATTTCTGCTTCCCTCAGTTTCCTCAACTATAAAATGGGAATGACAACAGCACCTATCTCTTAGAGTTGTTGTGATGATAAAATGAGATATTTGTACAGAGCTTTGCAAACTTTAAAGCACTATATAAATGCTAGCTATCACTATTAAAACAGTTTTATAGGTAAGCTTATCAAAATTTTAGAAAATTATATCATCAGCATTTTTTCTAGTCAATACTAGTGGATTATTTAGATGATAGCATGACCAATTCATTTTGGTATTTTGGTCTTTTGGAGTATAAAATCTTAGCCAACATGGGCACAAACCACAATGACTAAAGGAAGAAGACTAACTCTATTATAATTTGGGCACTATAGCTGGAATAATACTAGAGATGACAATTCAAATTTAGGGAAATGCCCCTAAGAGACCACAAGTAATGTTTGAGTATTTATATAAAAGAAATCACAGAATTTGAGACTTGGAAGGAACCCAAACAACCATCTATCTAGTCCAATCCACACCTGAAAGAAATAACCTATACCTATTAGGAGCCTAACTGCTCTCTCACCATCCTAGCCCATCCTACGAACCTAAGCAATTTTCCTTAAGCACAGACCTGACCATGTGACTCCCCTACTCAACCAACTCCAGTAGCTTCCTATTTCCTCTAGAACAAAATATAAACTATTATATAACCAGAACCAATTTATCTTTCCAGATTTATTGGACGTTGTTTCTTCTCCCTGTGTAATCTAGTCAAACTGGCTTTCTTCTCTGTCGCATACACATCTCACACCCACATGCCTTCTTACCTACAACCCTTCTTACCTACAGTTTGGGGAGAAAAAATTAGATTCTGGTAGAAATCCAAGATTTTAAAAAGTATATGGGATGGGGGGTATTTTTTTTATTAAGAAGAATTAGTTATACTCATTTTCTAACAAAGACGTTAAGAATTTGGAAAGGGAAAGGGTATACAGAAGGGAGAGAAAGATGAAAAACTGAAAATATTAGAAAAGGAGTTTTAAGCTGTTGGTATCTTCATCTTTGCTAGTTATTATGTTGGTGACTTAGAATTTTTTTTCCTTTTTTAAAATGAACTTTTACTGGAAAAAAATAAGATGAATGGGTTATGCAAGATTTTCTCCAAGTTCCCTTCAAATTATAAATTACTGTGATTCTATGAGTTAACAGAGTAGGACAAATTCACAATCCTTCACCTAAGTACAGGGTGTTCCAAAAGTCTTAGTGCAACTTTAAGCTCTAGTGGTTTAAAACTGCACTAAGATTTTTGGGATACCTTTCATTTCTAAGATAATGACAAAACACAGCTAAGGAAACAGAGGTCTATCCTCTGTGGTATTAACCTCAAATGATTTGCTATCTTCATTCTATGAATTCCTATAAACATTCTCTGTCTGTAACACTAATATTGGCCATTATTCCTATACCTCAAGAGAGGCATCACAGCTTTTGCATAAAAGAACTGGACTCAAAACAGCCAGGAAGATGTGATGTGTAATCCTAGATGAGTCACTTAACATTTCAGCCCTCTAAGTAATTCTGTTAGAACATTAAGAGGCAGAAAAGTCGCTGGGGATTTTCCTCACCTGAAAGTTGTCTATATACCAATGAAATTACAAATCCTATCCCTATCCTTACTTAAGCTTTAAATTCTTTTGTCTTGTGTCCCCACAGGAAGATTATAAATTACTGTTGCAATAAGATCACCAAAATGTCTTTCCTTATACCTCAGGTTAACAGTGAAGAACACAAAGAAATAGAAAACGATAATGGATAACTATTCATAGGCAAATCTAATAAAATGTAAAATTGACTTATTTAGCACTGGTCTACTGAATCATCTATTCATTTGAACTGTTAATTACTAGCTCCATCCCCTCTACTGGAACAAATATGTTTACCACCCTGACACAGAATAGTTACTAAAAAAGGTCTTATTGTTAGCTTATAGAATAGAATGTTTCAAATTACACTGAATCTAAGTCCTATGCTATTCTGAGGAAAAGAGCCTCTGAGAAGGTTCCAGATATTATTAGCATAGTGGATAAAAATGGTCTATTTGGAGGCAGGAAGAAATGGTGGATCTGAATCTCGCCACAGACATTAGATAGGGGGAAATTACTTAATCTCTCTCAGCCTCAGTTTCTTTATCTGTAAAATGAGGAAACTTGTAGCACAACTTACAGAGTTGTCAAGATCAAAAGATACCATATGTAGAACTTTGCTCAAGATGTCACAGTGGAAGCAAAAAAACCCTGTTCTCCGACAACTATTCCATCAAGGATTTAAAAGAAAAAAAAAGCACAATTACACTGAGTCAATTTTGCCAGACTGGGTCCAAACAAAGAGATAGCCAAAAGAGGTCCAGACAGAAAAGCCTGGCTCAGAAGTGCAGCTCACAGACTAGCTGGGGTACAGGGACAAACCAGGAAAGCCTAGAAACTGAAGCTATGAACCTAGGGCAGGGAGATGGGAGACTAAAAAGGGGGCAAACTGAAGATAACCTGGAACTTACAACTGTGTTGCTCTGACACTGAACCAAATGCTTGTTGAGTGATCTCGAACAAGGGCTCAGAAGGCTTCAGGGGCTTAGATCAGGAAGACAATGACCAGGGCATTCTCCTAGATCAGACTATCCAAGCCTAGGCTGGAGACCACCACACCAGCCTACTAGGCTCCTAGTAGTTTCTGAAGTCCTGAAAGAACAAATACCTCATTGCCCAGATTCCAGGTAATGAAGATCAGAAAAGCCCTACCAATCCTTCCATAAGTGCATAGAGTTTGGCCCCAAAACAAAGTCTTAACTCAGCAAGTAAGGCTGGAAAAATAAGTGAATACAAGAAAACTCTGCTGATACATATTATGGAGTTAGGGATATGCAAGAAACAAACCCAAAAGAGAATTTACACACACACACACAACTATGTCAATTGAAGCAAAAAAAAAACCCCAATAACAATAAAGCCTTCAACAAGGTACAATGCTCATTAATGCAAAAAACCCTAAGTACAGGCTTAGAAGAACATTATCAAATGTAATAAAAAAAGTATTTAAAACCAAAAGAAACCATTACATGCAATGAGGATATACTAGAAGCTTTCCCAATAAATACAGGAACAAGGCAAAGGTGACCCTTCCCCCCATTATTATTTCATATCATTTTGGAAATGCTAGCAATAAAACATGAGAAAGAAGTAAAAAGCATAAAGTTAAACAGAGGATATTTTCTGCTTAACAACTGTATGAAAGAATGCTCCAAATCATTAAAAATAATAGAAATGAAAATCAAACAACCCTGAGGTTGTACTCTACACTCAACAAACTAGCAAAGATGACAAAAGATGAAGGATGTTGGAAGGGTTATGGGAAGATAAGCACATTAATAAGTTGTCTGTCTGTACAGCTGTGATTATACAAATCAGTACAATTATTTTGGAAAGCAATTTGGAATTAAGAAAATAAAGTGACTAAAATGTCCATATCCTTTGACCCAGATGTTCCACTATTAGGTTTATTTATAACCCACAGAGGCCATTGATAATCAGAAGTCCCCATATGCTCCAAAATATTTATAGTGCATTCCTTATGACAGCTAAGAATTGTAAACTAACTATATGCTCAATGATTGGAGAACCGATGAATTGTGGCATATGAATGTAATTTAATATTATCCATGCTGTAAGATATGATAAACATGATGAAGAGAAAAAAGCATGAAAAGATTTAGAAGAATTGATAAAGTGATATAAGCCAAGTAAGAAAACAATGTATACAATGACCAAAGTT